CCCCACCCCCCCCCCCCCCCCCTGCCCCCCCCCCCGACATAGTCGTATATCTTAGTTGCAGGTCCTTCTAGTTGTGGGATGTGGGACGCCGCCTCAACATGGCCTGACGAGCGGTGCCATGTCCGCACCCAGGATCTGAACCCTGGGCCGCTGCATCGGAGCACGCGAACTTAACCACTCGGCCACGGAGCCGGCCCCAATTCTCTTTTTTAACTAAATGGTTTAACATTTTAGTCACTATCCCTGCTGACAATCTCTGCCTTATCTTGCCTTATTCACCAAATCCTCTTAAAGCCTGGAAAAACCATAAAAATTTAAAGACTGTTGAGAGGATGTTCAGAAATCACTTACAAATGCAAAAATTTAAAGTACATCAATTTCTAGAAGCGATCAAGTACGTTTTGTTTCTTGAATTCAACAACCTTTTGTGGTATGGCTCCATGCTGTGAATAAGGAGAGAAGAAAAAAAAGCTAATTTCCCTACTGACAATTTTGGACTATTAGATTATATATTTATATGTTTAGGACTTACAATAGTTATGCATTCTGCTCTTTGACCATAATTTTGCATGCATTTGGTTTAGTTCTATATTTAAATGGACTCAAGATTCTACCTCAGTCCTTTGACACTAAGCCTTCCCCTTTCTTAAGACTTTATTTTGATTCATCTCATAGTTAACCAGATTTTATTGTCCACTTTTTTCTCTCATTGAATATCTCTGTTGAGAAATCTGAGGTCAACCTGCTCTTTTCCTCCTTTCAGGAAACTTGCTTTTTCTGCCTAGATGCCCATGGATTTCTTATATTGTCCTTAAAGTTCAGTAACGACTTACTATGTTCCTTCACGTTGATTATTCTGTTATCAGGGGTGTTTTTCCCCCAAAGTCTCTTTCAGTCTACAGAATTGGATCATACTTTATTTCACTGGAGTTTTCTTTAATTTTATTTTTGCATTTTTACTTCCTGTTCCATTTGTTCTGTTCTCTACTTCAGGGACACTGTTATCCCACATGCTGACCGACTGTTGGCTGTCTTTAATATTAATAGTTGTCATCTTCTCTCTGCTTAATTTCATTTATTTGGGGTTTTTTTCCCCCTGAAAATGCTATTTTATTCTCTTTAGTCTGACATCTGCATCACTGAATATGTTTTCAACAATGTTTGTTCTAATATGACTTTCGATGATGGTTTTATTATCCTCAGTTTCTTTCATCACTCTTAGCTTACTTTATCTTCTTTTGCCCATTTTTCTTTGAGCTCTTCATTTTACAATTATTTTCACAAAGGCCTTGTTGACTTTTTTAATTTCTTTGAAAGTATAGATAAATATGCATCTGAAATTTTTTGGTTTGCTGGAATAATTCTTCTTAAGAGTATTATTTTTCATCTGCCTTTTGATTGTTGAGTCTCTTTCCTCTGTTCCCATTTTTTGTTTTTACTTGCTTTTAATGTTATTAATATGCCTAAGTCTACATGAAAACAGGGACTCTGCTCTGGAGGGAAGGCAGTTCTCTCCTGGCTTATACTATCTGTTTACAAATTATGGAGAGGAGTCAGGGGGAAAGCTGGGACAGCTAAAGCTTCACGTTGGGTCTGACTGCTCACAATAGTCTTTAGCCATATCTGCCATATTCTCTGACCTCTTGAGTGAGTGGATCGCCAAGCAGGATGTCAGTAAGGATCATGGTGGGTACTCCCAGCTCTCTCATCTTTTGTTTGATTATTTATGTTCATCTGTAGCTGCTTGTTTGAATCTGATCAATCACTGCAAGGCTGGTTGCCATTACCACTTTTTTATCCACCTTGCCTCGCCTCCTAATTAGGAATTCTATTTTGGAAAGAATAAATATGTGTTGCCCAATAACCTCCCTCCATCTGTCTGACCATCCTCTCTTCTCTGCAGTGTAGACCAAATCCCCAGAGGGGTGTTCTGCCTTTCTCCTGTGTTCCATCCACACCCTCAGTCCTTGCTCTGAGGAAAAGAACTTCACCTGGGCCCCTTATATCACTTACTTTCAGAGAAATATGAATCCTAATTGGAACCCAGAAGGTGCGTTTCAACTCTCTACAGCCTCCCTTGCCCAGTCCAGATTCACCATATTTGGTGAATAATGTAATTTGAGAGTTTAGCTATTTCCTATTTTCATTGCAGATGGACTTTTCTTATCAAAATTTCATTCATTTTAATTTCATGCGTTTTGAGGGTTTCATGGAATGGGTAAAGAAAACAACTTTCACCACCATCTTTTAGCTAGATCATTTTTTTTCAAACTCTCTAATTAATAGATTCCCTGAATTATGAGCACTTTGCTTCATTTAGTTTCAGGCAAAAAAATTATTGAGTAGATATTAAATGCAGAACAGTATGTAAGATGCTGCTTAAGATATAAAAATGAATAAGACGAGACCTACTTTCAAGGAACATATAAGATGAGTAAGAAGAGAAATCCATCAGTAACAGGAGTAAGATGCATTAAATGGGGTCAGTGAATGATCATCATCATTATCATGGTGATCATGATGATGAAATGAGCTATGGAGAGTGTGATCACATCCAGTTGAAGGGTTGACAAAAGTCAAAAGGGAAGAGAAGAAATGATGGGCAACATTCATCCTAAGTAACTTGAGACAGGGTGGCATGACGGCAAGACAACGGGCTTTGGAGTTAGACAGTCACAGGCTCACCTCTCAGATCGTACATCACTATGTGCCCTCGGGAACACCACTCCTCTCTGACCATCAGTTTTGCCTTTGGTAAAAGACCTAACACTATCAACCTGTTATAAGGATCAAGTGGAACAATGTGTGTCAAGATCCCTGCACAGTGCCTGGCTCATAGTAGGTGTTTCATAAATGTTTTTTTTTTTTTGCCTGAAGTAATTCTATTCATTTATCATGCTTCATCCCTTAGTTGCTGTATATGTTGTATTAACTATTTAATACATAGGAAGATTTTTTTTAGAAAAGATGAGTGTTCTTACCCCTTGTTATTATATTTATAATTCTTTACTATATCATTGCTCTATTAACCTTATCTCTAAAAAATCAAATGAGACAATCATGAAAGTGCTCCACAAACTGTCAGGTAATAACCAGCGTAAGGAAAGGGCATTATGCTAATGTATACCTTATCTTATGTTCCATCCTTTAAAGAGAAATCCCAGCGCCCCACCCCTCACCTTGAATGGGAGACACCTTTGGCAGATTTGAACTCGGTTGTACTCTGGTGTCTATTTAGACAATTTCTCTACTGATTGAAGGCCATTTTTCTGAGAATATTTAGAGTCTGCTTGAGGCTAGCTTGGGAAATTGCCAGTATTTTCCATAGAGGTGCAACATTATACCCATAAAAAGAAAAATAGGTCAGAATCTCCTGTAGTTGTGCTCCCTGGTTCCTCAGCTAAAGGTCATTCTTAATCCTCCTACAGCTCCCAGCACGCTGTGTGCAGCGGTTTTTAAAATGTTCCAGGAAGGAAATGGCTTCTATAAAGAAGGGCAGGGAACAGATTCTTCATGGGAGCAAGGGACCCCAAATGTTTCACAATTCCATTTAAAACTGCAAAGATGCGTCCAGCCTGGTGGCATGGTGGTTAAGTTCACATGCTCTGCATTGGTGGCCCAGGGTTCTCAGGTTCGGATCCCGGGTATGGACCTGATTGCTACTCATCAAGCCATGCTGCACCAGCGTCCCACATACAAAATAGAGGAAGATTGGCATGGATGTTAGCCCAGGGCCAGTCTTCCTCACCAAAAAAAAAAAAAAGATGAATTCTAGGGAAACTTCATGGTAGTAGTTTTCCTATAGTTAAATTTTGAGACTACATCCCTGTGTAGAACCTTGGCTGGGACTTTAACCATTAACCTTCTGTGAAAGAGAATGGAGAATGAGAGGATTCCACAGGCCAGAATCACCACACTTGAGTGCAGAGGATGGTATGAAGCATGGCTGGAGAGTTTCCAGTAAACCCAGTGACCACCAAGCTGGGACCAAAGTAAGACTACATTGCTTCTCAGAAACACAGAACTCAAAAGAAACCCTGGGAGTGCCATGGGGCACACTCAGCCTGCTAGGGAAGACGTGGCATTGAACAACACAGAAAACAGCTAGGCCAAGCTGGAAAGCTGCCCCCGTGCTCCCTGAGCACTGCCACTTCTCATGAGGAACCAAGCTGCTCCCAAATCTCGGCCTTCAGCAGAGGCCACCAAGGCTGTTTCCCTCCATCGCCATGAGTATTGTCCCCCAGCTAGACGACATGCGATTTACCATTTCAGAAAAGCAGTTATTTTCAAAAGAAAATTTGTTGTTCTCTGAATATGATCTCATTTCCACCGTTCCTAAAACGACCACACAACTTGAATTCCCTTTTTTCTATTCATAGCAGTTCCCTCATCCAGTTTCAACTCAACTTTGATCAAAGCATGTGTCGCTCCCTCAGACATTTGTCTGGAAATACTGAGTATGTGACTCAGGAACAAACAAGTAAGTAAACATGAGCACGCAGTGTCATCCCTTTGGTTTACTATCCTTTATTTTACAAAAGTGATGCTAATAAATAATAATAATAATAAAGTGATACCTTTATCCAAGTATTAGCTACTAACACATAGAAAAACAAAACTGTACATGTACACATATATATACATATGTGCATAGATAATACATATTTTATATGCACACCTAAATATGTATGTAAATTTATGTATTACGTATATAAATTTTGAGACTACATCCCTGGTTCTATGGAGGGAGGTAGTCTCAAAATTTAACTATAGGAAAATTACCACCATACCTAAATATGTATGTCTATAAAATTTGGTGGATACTAATATAATTTACTGCAAAAGTTGTACATATTAAAAGAAAAACATCATAGCAACATCTAAAAAATGATGCTGAAATTAAAAACCATGTCACTGAAAAGGTTAAATGCAGCATATTATCGCTAAGATTCAAGCCTGTTACTTCCTTGAACACACATGCTATACGGATATTGCCTAACTGTGGACAGAAGTACATTCTTTGCTTCCTTCTAGCCCCTAAAATAAAACCAGTTCCTCCAAACCAAAAAATGGTAGGTGTCTCAGTTACTACTGGTAGGTAACTCAGTAAGACTACTCATGTGGTATCTCAGTTCATGCTGGGAAAGTGATGGCAAATGTACTCACTGTGAAATTGGTAAAAATGCCTTGTTTGGCCCACATTCTGTGGCTGCTCCAGGCCTGGGGCTGGGGGATGAACTTCTGCAAAACTCTGCCCACCCTGGGCTCCTTCCGACGCCTGAGCCCAAACATTTCTTGCCCCTTCCTGCTCCCACTCTCATCTCACATCATAATGTGGGCCTTAGCTTACCTCCATCTGGCTATTAGCCCACTTTTGTAGCCTTCTCAGCTTCCCTAAGAGGCCTGGAAGCCCTGAAATAAAGTCAAGATGACTTTAGCAGTTTATTTTCAAACGTACTCTAAAACCTTGGCTACATATTGTAGGGATATCTGGTTACCTTAGCAAAAACACAAAACAAGCATACGTTGACTCTTGTTCCCAAATGAATTTTGCCTTCATTTCTTGTCATTAAACAGAAGTATGCCATTTGGAGATGAGCTGTGAAAACTGGGTTTTATAAATAGATACCAAGAAGATACAAATAATCCTATTCTTCTTAATCCATGTGGCTATCCTTTGGGCCAGTAGCAAAGAAGCCACTCTGGCAAGGGGCTTACCCTGGGGTCTACAGATGCCCAAGGGGCTCTTGGGTAGAATTCTAGAGGTCTATAAGTTTGGATGGGGAAAAGACCCATTTATTTATTTTCATTAACCTGTAACTGAAATTTAGCATTTCTTTCAATTATGAAGATAGGTAACAAACTATAAGTTACCTATGACTTTGTCACCATTAGTTGTTTCCAATACCTTGAAATATCATTAACATTCATCACTACTTTTAAGATACAATACTTACTAAACCCATCAGTAGATCTTATTTAATGTGTTAATAAAGAAGCATCAATGTTACATATCACATATTTTTTAAAATGTGTTTGATAACTATGCTTCAATATAATTGGTTTCCTTAGTATCCTACGTATTTTGTTTTATATTTTAAGAACATCATTCTGAGAAGCAGTCTATAAGCTCTAACCAGACTTCCAAAGGGGGCTATGGCTCAAAATCAAAGATTGGGGATCCTCGCACTAGGGTTTTATAAGATGAGCTTGAATTGTTGCTTTATGAATACATCAATCACAATAGAAACATAGCAGATGATAATGACCAATGCTTAAGGAATTTGCTTTAAGCATGGGCTTCTAACAGGTGTTCAATCCTCCTGGGACAAGAAACTTCAATGAAAGGGTGGAGAGACAAAGGACCTATTGTCAGCAAGCTTTCGGAACTGCAAGGCAAGCCACTGCACAACCATAGGCTTGATTCACTGGTTGGCCTCCTTTCTTCGGCTTGCTGAGATTATGATATTCTTGTCTTCAAGGATGATTATAGGTTACTAGGCCTACAGGTTCAAAACTGCCCTCTGCAGCTATTTGTAAATTCCTCTGACTATTTATTACCTGTTGACTTCCCTGGTTCTTTGCCGTAGAAGTTCCAGCTTATTACTTTGACTTAGGGTTTCATTAGAACTTTACCAGAAAAGTTCCTTGTCTCCAACAGAAGTTAACTCCATAGAATGATCTCCTACTGGACCTGAGATGATTCTTCCCTCAATTTCAACTGATTCATATCCTTCCTCAACGGCTGACTCAGAGTCATGACTCAATAATGACGACATCATTTTAAGCTTATAAAATTTGAAGAGAACCATGGACAGAAATAGAAGGGGAAAACATGAAAAATGAATGATAGGAATAAAAAGAAAACATACCAAATGAATGACTACAGTGTTCTTTTGTCTTGGAATAAAATAGAAACTTTACTAATGGTAACATAATTTACATTTGAGTAGTCCTTTTATGGTCATTATTTTTGTCCGGTGCCCTTAACAACTCTGTCAGCAGTCACAAAAGCTGAATCTCAGACAACCTAAAGGACCAGCCCGAGGCCCTAGATTAGAAAGTGGGGCACCAGCCAGAGCTGGGGGGCTAGGCCTTCTGCTCTGGGGGCGTGGGCTACTCCTCAACACAAAATCTGAGAAGCCCAGAGCCCTTGAGGGTACTGCTCTAGGAAAACTAAGTAAACAAAAGAAACAAACACTGTGTGCTGATTGAAAACTAAATAAGACTCAGGAGAAAATAGTAAACATAGGCACAATTCCCAGGTTTTCTGAGAGAGAAAGTTCCTGATGTTTATAACACTCACTGAAGATAGAAAAGAACAGAGAAGCATTATTGGCCATTCTAAGCAAAAGAAAAAAATGATAATACACATAGAAGATAGCATCTAGCAAAAGAAACTGGAGTCAAAAACAAGTGAGAATTTACTTTAGGTTATATTTTAATTTTTAACAAGTTTATTGCTGATCTATTCATAAGTTTGGTATATTTTGATATATATATTGAAATATTATATATATATATTGCATTACCTATATGATCTATATATGATCTATAATATGAACAATAATATCTTAAATTGTTTTAAAATATATTTCTTAGTTTTCTGAGTAATATCCAACAAAAAATATTATGTAACACTCTTTGGTTTTATTCAAAAATGAATAAATAACCTTTGGTTATTTTTGTTTTGTTTTTTAAGGATCTCTTTCCCAACTACGGGGAAAGCTTAGTGCTCATAAAAAGAAAAGGAAAAAAAACAAGGAGGACGGAGGGCCCTGGCTAGTCTCTAAGCACCGAATGTGTAAGCGGTTGCTACACAAGTTTCCAGATCCTGACTTCAATCTCAGGGGCCAGAGCTGTGTGTGCTCCACAAAAGGCCCTTTGAAACTCCTTCCCCTTCCTGGTGTGACAAAGCCCTGGGTGACTGACCTTTGAGGGACACACACATTGGTTTGGCTTGGCCTCTGATCTCCCATGAAGGACTGTGAGCCATGCTCATCTGTCTGGGATCTGCTGCCTACTTCTCCATTATATTTAGCTCTTTGGTTATTTTCCTAATGAGCTGTCTGTTTGCCTCCAGCCTTCCAGCCAGAAGATGAATGTGTGCAAATCATAAACTAAGTATCCAGTGCTTGGCACCTACAAGGAGCTGTTCTATACATTTTGCAATCCAGACATCTAGAGATGCTGCTGGGGCTGTCTCTTTACTCTGTTGGCCCCGCGGCTGGGCAGGAGCACATCCCTGTAGCTAGAGCTGACCCTAGCCTTGCACTCACATTCTCTCAATGACTACCTTGACAGCTGCCCTTCCCCACCTCTTCCCACCTTGCTAGCTTTGCTAAGGCAGCTAACAGGCAGACCACGCACATGCTTAGGGCAGCGGCAATTCAGAGAGAAAAGAAAAACTGAAAATATTTTAATCAACCAGGTAGTTACCATGGGAGAATTTTTTACATTTATGTTGTGGCTTTGAATAGTCTATTTTGAAATATATATGGCGGGCTGGGGGAAAAGGAATCAATATTTTTGCTTCATGGGGACTCTAGGGTTCATATCAGGCCCTGCTTTCTAGTGTCCTACAGATTGGTTTTTGCCCCTCCCTGCTCCCCAGGGCATCTTGCACCCAACGTGGACGTGACTCAGAGTTCAATCCTGCTGGAAATCTGGGGCTTGTTGAGCCTCAATCTACCTTAACAAGCACTTTTTAGCTCATGTGGTTCCACCCTTGCACAACCCCAATTACCTAAGGAAATTGTAGAAACCCAGTATTTTCCGTCTTTAGAGCCAAATGATATGTTGGTAGTAGTTTGGAATCTTTATTTTCATGGAGTTGATGAACACCAAAATATATACAGCTATCTTTTCACACATATAGAGTATTGCATGACCCCCACCTTTCTTGTCTTCTAAAACACTTACATGCATATTTTAACTAGGTCACACAAGATTCACTATATAAAATGGACATGATTATTTTTTATTTTAAGGCCTAGGACGTGCTATGTAACCAAGTTCTCCATAACTGTGAGAAGCAATTTGTACGCCATGGTAGAAAAGCCCACCATTGATGTCCATGAGAGTCAACCTGGATGGGCACGCGGCTGCTGTGCCTAAGTGGTTTTCTGTACAAGGCAACACCAAAGGATAAAGGAACCCAGAGAAGCTTTGGGGTTGATTTAGCAGCTGTTTGATATCATCAAATACTGTATGAGGGCTTGATTTCAAAAAACTTTGATATATTAAAAAATATACAAATTTGCACAAAAAATAAACCAGGTAGACAGTGTACATCTTTTTTTTTATGAGGAAGATTGGCCATGAGCTAACATCTGTTACCAATCTTCCTCCTTCTGCTTGAAGAAGATTGTCCTTGAGCTAACATCTGTGCCAATCTTCCTATTTTGTATGTGGGACACTGCCACCGCATAGCTTGATGAACAGTGTAGGTCAGCACCACAATCTGAACCTGCAAACCCTGGGCTGCCGAAGCAAAATGTGCAAACCTAACCACTTTGCCACCGGGCCAGCTCCTAGAGAGTGTACATCTTTTAGAGGACTCAGAACAGCACTTCTTAGGAAAAAAAAAACTACATTGCCCAGATATAGTGTAGGCTTTTAAATTTAATTTATATATGACTTTTAGAAACAGTTTTGGAAAAAATAAAAGTATATGCAGAAGATCTATTCATTTGATTGGGAGTGAGAACTTTTAAATTATACTTTCTGAGCTCAAACAGCCAGTACATCCCCTCACCGCCAGCACTCTCCCCATGCCTTTTCTTTCCCTGGTAACTTTGTGCTGGGCAGGAACGAAGGGGCCGAAGTTGCAAGGTCTACTTGTCATTGTGTGCCTCCCTCTCCTCCTCCTGCCCTGACAGGAAGAAACCACGGGACCTGGGATTTTGTAAACAGGAGGTTCTTGCTCAATGCTCTAGGGAAGGTAAACCCAAGCCTTGGCAAAGGGGAAAACGCCTCCCAGTTTCCAAAACTGGACAGTCAGGCCTGGTTTGAACCATGTGATCCAGCTGCACCGGAGTAAGTCTGGGTGGCCACTGTGGCCACATTAAAGAAAACACACAGCAACTTGAGGACATTTCCCCTGAAGTTTTGGATGGAAATGCAAGTGGGAGGAGAAGCTGTGACGGGCCCCAACCTCTTACCCTCCAGGTCCCTGGTCGCCTTAGGACCTCCAGGACACACTGCTCCCACTGTGGTTTGGAATTTGCTTGTTGAGACAAAGAGTTTGTTGAGCCTTACACATGAATGAAGAGCATGTGGAGAAGTCAGCTCGCTGACCACTGCTTCCCCCAGCGATTTCTCTCCCACAGCCCTCACCGAAAGCCCTCCGTGGAAAAATCAATCTCCTGGCTTTATATCTGCCCTCTGGCCTAGTCAGAGGTTGCCAAGCGCAAAGCACTACGGGGGACTCCTGTCGCAAAGCAAACAGGGTCTGAGCGGCCGGAAGGAGAGAGCTGCTCTTTAAAAGCTTTTAACTGCTGTTATATTTTAAAAACCACTTACCGAGGAGGTGAATTATTTTCTACTCCTCCTTCCCCAGAAGCACAGCCATTAAGGTTACCTAGAAACCTGTCCAGGAAGCATGTGGCAAATAGCAACCGTGCAATAGAAACATCCGGATCTGTCATCTAATAGGAGATGGTATTGGCAAGGTCATATTTGGGTAGAGGCGGAATAGGAAACTTAATGAGTTTGCACGTCCTGGCTATTTTGGGGGCTAATGACCTGTGGTTTAGAAGGGGGCTTTTTTCTTAACTCGTCTGGGAGGGCGCTTGGTTGGTATAAGTTGGAAATGAGAGAGATTTGAGATTGGATGCTACTTGTCCTGGAGACTACCCCGTGGAAGGACAAAGCACAGGGAGAATTCAAAGGCTCAGAAGGCGTGGCCTCTACTCTGGGAGAACTTCCGTCTATTGGGGATGTGATGGACACAGAGGATGACCTGAGAACAATTCTCTTTTTAAGTTTCAGAAGCAAAATAATAGACCATGAAGGAATATCTACTAGGGAGACGAGATTTCAAGGTGAAGGTGATTTTCAATAAGGTCTTGAGAGACACTGAGGACAGCGAAGAAGATGGGAGAAAAGCCGAGGGGGGCAACTGGCATGGCACGTCAGCCAGGTGCCTGTGCTGAGGACGTGAAACAAAATAACCAGAAGATGTGTTGACAGAATGAGAAAAGTACAGTGATATTTGGATGTTTTAATTTTCATGATTGTACGGGTGAAAAGGGGAGATAACTCCTGTTTCTTCATACCTCTAGCTCCAGACTTTTGGAAAAAAGCCTCCACATTATGAAACCTGTTTTTTGCTTTGTTTCTGTTTGGTTTTGTTTTGTTTTGTTGTTTTTTTTTTTTTTTTTTTTTTTTTTTTGCTGTTTCTAAAGAGCTTATTTCTAATGCGTATTTCATTTCCAACCAACACCCTTTCTATGTCAGATGAGGTGATAAAATTTGTAATTATAGAGAAGCAGCAAAACCCTGACTCAGCCACTTCACCGCGTAGCCAGGCCACAGACACAGGGCGTCGGGAGAGCCAGCCGCTGTGGAAAAGGCAGCAGGGAGAGGGGACCACCAAAACAACGGCGTAGGAATATTTGCTGCTCCGGTTCCTTTTTGCTTTACCCCAGAATATATCTTTTTTCCAATTCAGCATGAAGAAGGGTAACTAATGAAACTGTAATTCTGGAGGGTAAGCTATCTACAAAACTTGTGAAAAATCAGCTGAAAGCCGTAAGGCGAGCTATGGGACAATTCCTGGACTTTCCACGCTGACTGCTTTCTGTTCAAAAGTCGTCACTTCTACCAGGGCATCTGCGTGAGTCAGTAAAACACGGCCACAGAGGCTTGAGCAACCACGGAGAATTAGACGCTAAAAACACAGACAGGAAATCTCCATAACGCAAACAATTCTCAGGAAGGGAAGAGGAGTTCATGATAAAAGCCTGGCTGACATACCACACTCCTCTCAAATTACAGAAAACCCACGCTGTCAACCTGAGACGATTGAGCAACCGTCTAGCCAGTCTCGCGGGCTGCCTGCGTGCTTGCCGAGAGAGCGCTGGCGTCAGCAGGCAGGGAGCGCTCACCTGAGGCCTTGGCCAGCCTTCTCCGATGGTAGGAGGCACCTGCCCTCAGCTCCTCTGAAAACGGATGAGGCTCTTACACACCTGCACCTGGTCTCCCCAGTGCCCTTGCGAAGGAGAGGAGGCAGGAGTTCCAAGGCTTGAATTGGAAGTCGAAAGGCTTAGTTGCACCTCTGACGTACCGTGGTCTCAGGAAATTCACTTGAGGCCCCTGTAAGACTCAGTCCCCCCATCGTCAAAAGGATGTGAATCCCCCTTACCTATTCTACAAAGGTCAGGTATTAAAAATGCCATACCAAAGCATGGTTCTTTATG